ATTTTCAATTACAGATTCTTGTTTTTAAAAACCTATACATGTACATTTATATGTATCTATTAGATGCATAAATTATGTTATTAATCATTTTATCTTAAAGGAAAAGTAAAAATCTCAATCAAACTTGTTCCGCATATTATGCTCTCTGATTCATTACTCAACAGATGTTTCATATACATGTAAGAAGGGAAGACTGCAGACTGCAGGTGTGATAAATTCACAGCATGCAGCTCCAGCCTTAATTCCAACTTTGTTCCAAAATATTATTATTCAACGCGAAAAATTAGAATTAGCCGATAGAATATTTTGAATCACTTCGGAAATGCTGCCGTAACACCAGACTGAGTTCACAATATCGAGTGATTTTGATTGACAGGTGTAGCGCCGTTGTGCATGGATTTCGTGTAACTATACATGTACTGCAGATTGTGGTTGAAAATAATAAACAAACAGATCTAAAGAAAAGATATTGTATACTGTACATATATTTGTTAAGAACCAGTTCATTCATGAAACGAATTTAGTCGTATTATGTGGGCCCATGTTAGATTTGACAGGTTGATTTACTAGTAGAAATTCAATGGACCACAGTCATTTAGGGTATTCCGAATCACCCCGCACATCGCGACTCTCGGTAATTTACCTTACCACTGTACCTCGCACGACACATGCACAGGTGTGACAACCAAACAGTCATTATTAGTAAGGTCTATACTTATTGCATACAACAAATAAAGAGGTAAACATAATGCGTTAACTAAAAGAATTAATTATTTTAATTCATTAACTTCCTATCCTTTTCGAAGAAAATGCCCGTGTAGAAACGTATTTCTCATCGATGTCGTGGCGTTGTTGGTGGATGAAACATGGCATATAAGGTATTGATAGAACGGCAGTTTTATAAGCTTTTGTGAGTATTATTTGTTTTTTATAACACCTCAAAAATATACTAGTTATGGCCGCATTTGTAGCCCCCTACAGTCGAACCACGTGTGTACATGCCCCTAGCCAAATAAATTGCACACGCTACATGTATACTTGTTATATGTCAGATTATTATTTTTTTTAATAACATTGTTTTTCTTAAATGCAAGGGGTATGAAAGTAATGATTTGACAAAGCAAGAGCTATAATAAGACTATCCCGGGTCCCGGTATACACTTGATCAGTGTTGATCAATGTTCATATGTACGAGTACACGTATGCAAATAATTCGATAGCTTTTGAAGATTTCAACATATATTTTTGTAACACGCATACATTTTGTATTTGTAATAACTACTTTATATACAAAACAAAATTTCATTCTCTTATATGGTAATATGGACGTCGTAATAGATCTGACTGAATGCTTGACATGCCTGTTTCAAAAACGTTTCCTAAGTTATCTTAAGATATGCCTAAGTTATAACTTTAGAAGTTCCTAAGATTTATCACAGCTGTATCGCGAAACAATCTTATCTAAAAAAAAAATGTATAAGTCATTTCTTAAGTTGTGCCTTTAAGGACTAATAAAATAACATTCCCGCTCTATATACAACTCTCAGTATGGTATATATTTTTAGATTCAAAAAGGAAGGGTGCGAGGATTGGGGATTGCCCCCACTTTTAAAGGATTTGGACACAAGAATGCTTAACTTTGCGAAGTGTGTTACTAGATCTAAGCATTCACAGACACACCCTTTCAAGCCATCTTCCCTTCCGAGCACACGATATTTGTATTTTAATTTTTAAACATTGTTATAGGTGTTATACATTTACTTTATTTTGTTCTTATAAGGTATCTACATGTAAATAAAATTTTAAAATGAATGCTTCGTAGCGAACACATGCGAGTTTATATTTTTCAAACAATCTTTGCCAATTACTATACTGCATGTACACCTTAGTTGTTTGTGCGGTGTAGAGCAACAATGTATTTCAACATCGAGGTGCCCGCGGCTCTCTGTGGCCACGTGTATGTAAACGAGGACTGGACTACAACACTTAAGGACACAAAGCGGCAGAGATAGATGAAACTGTTTGCTATATTACAAAGACTTGAATTATAGTACATGTATATTTGAAGGCATTTTTATTTATGTTAATGTTTATTTAATTCTATAAATAATAAATGGACATTCACAAGAGTGATGGTAAAAATAATATGTGCGTAGCGTGCGTAGTAATTACAATTATTTACCGAAGCCCCCATTCGATTACAATTGCAGATGAATTAAAATACAACAACACGGGATAGAGCAATACTTTTTTTAAATGTATTGTTACGTGAACAGACAAAAACAGCGATTAAAATTCAAAATGATTTTTATGCACCAGTGTTTGGAATTAAGATTATAAAAGATCGGTAAAGTAATCTTACTGATTCGATATAATTAAAAACATAACTTTCCATTAATTAATAGCTCTTTGTACAAAATTGACATTATACGCGATCACAAATACTAGCTTTGTTTATGGCCACAGGTGGCTAGTACACTGGTGACCTCGATCAAAGGCAAGGGATTCGCGCGTTGGGTTACATAACTAAACATCGAGCTGAACATGGAGACCGTAATATGCATACAGCTAATGATTGTGAATTATTCAATGCATACAGTTTAAAATCACTTACAAAGTTTGTTGTAATAATAAACGTAGAAAGATAGATTTAATATTCTCCGCTTTTGAACACTATTAATCTAATTTAAAAAAGAAGAAAAGAAAGACTAGTTGTAATAAATAATTTAATAGTGAACCATAAACCACGTTTTAAACCTTATTAAAAAGAAAATTAACATTAAATACCGCAGGGTATATTATTGATAGCAAGTCTGTTTAAGTTATACACATGAAGAGGTCTGATTTCCTTGCCGAATGAAAAACGTTACCTGTTTACCTGGCCAGCTTTCTAATACTTATTACGCAATACCCATGGTATACTCGAACAAAACAACATTTTCATTAGATCAAAAAGGTGTAAAAGAACAATTTTGTTCCCAAGATCCAGATCGAAATATTTACCGTTTTTGAGTTATAAAGCAAAAACTTTTAAGGGCCCAAGATCCCTAATCATAGGGGCCAGCCCCTTTTAAATAGTATAATATGAAAGCCCTTGCAATTATGCACAACTTTTGTTCTACATGTCTTAACAAAATATTTCTAGTTTTCAAGATATAAAGGAAAATATGTCAAATTTTTTGCTGTTTTCCGCGTTCTAACTTTTGACCCCTCTCTAGCGCCATTTTTAATGCAAAAATCAAAAAACAAAAACCGATGTGCACAACTTCAATGCTTCCTCTTTTCAATTTCAAAGGGTTTTGTGCTCCAATTATAACCATTTCTGGGCCTTTGTCTGGAAATCGGAGGCATGCAAAATTCAATCAAAGGGGAATAACTCGTGAACAGAAGGTAATTTCCGAATTGTATTACGGTATTCTGACAGTGTTTTGTAAAGTCTAAAAGCTCTGAAAATTTGAACAAAATCTGTTTAAAAATGAGGAAGATATGAAGCGTCAAAGTTGGCGTCTAGGAAAAAAAAAAAAAAAGAATAATAAGAATAATCTTAATCATCAGAATCAGTAGAAGGTCTTCCATTGGAAACGGAAGACCTTAATTAATATCAGGCCTACAAACTTACTTATCTGAGATCTCAAGTAAACAGAGATGAAATTAATATCAGGTCTACAAACTTACTTATCTATCAAGTAAACAGAGATGAAATTAATATCAGGTCTACAAACTTACTTATCTCTCAAGTAAACAGAGATGAAATTAATATCAGGCCTACAAACTTACTTATCTATCAAGTAAACAGAGATGAAATTAATATCAGGCCTACAAACTTACTTATCTATCAAGTAAACAGAGATGAAATTAATATCAGGCCTACAAACTTACTTATCTATCAAGTAAACAGAGATGAAATTAATATCAGGTCTACAAACTTACTTATCTATCAAGTAAACAGAGATGAAATTAATATCAGGCCTACAAACTTACTTATCTATCAAGTAAACAGAGATGAAATTAATATCAGGTCTACAAACTTACTTATCTATCAAGTAAACAGAGATGAAATTAATATCAGGTCTACAAACTTACTTATCTATCAAGTAAACAGAGATGAAATTAATATCAGGTCTACAAACTTACTTATCTATCAAGTAAACAGAGATGAAATTAATATCAGGTCTACAAACTTACTTATCTATCAAGTAAACAGAGATGAAATTAATATCAGGCCTACAAACTTACTTATCTATCAAGTAAACAGAGATGAAATTAATATCAGGTCTACAAACTTACTTATCTATCAAGTAAACAGAGATGAAATTAATATCAGGTCTACAAACTTACTTATCTCTCAAGTAAACAGAGATGAAATTAATATCAGGCCTACAAACTTACTTATCTATCAAGTAAACAGAGATGAAATTAATATCAGGCCTACAAACTTACTTATCTATCAAGTAAACAGAGATGAAATTAATATCAGGTCTACAAACTTACTTATCTATCAAGTAAACAGAGATGAAATTAATATCAGGCCTACAAACTTACTTATCTATCAAGTAAACAGAGATGAAATTAATATCAGGTCTACAAACTTACTTATCTCTCAAGTAAACAGAGATGAAATTAATATCAGGTCTACAAACTTACTTATCTATCAAGTAAACAGAGATGAAATTAATATCAGGCCTACAAACTTACTTATCTATCAAGTAAACAGAGATGAAATTAATATCAGGCCTACAAACTTACTTATCTGAGATCTCAAGTAAACAGAGCATATTTCCTTGTCCCTTCTGTCAAGATATCTTACATCTAGACATGGATTGTGGACATTTCACAACTAGCCATATCATATGAGAACATTTGCAGCTTAAGATATGGAGGTCAAAAGTTTAAGTTAGAAACTGAAGGCACGAACTTTTGCTCCAGTTTTTCATTTCGTTTGCCTCAAATAAAACATTGTTCATTTTGAACCATTACACAAAAAAAAATATTCATCTTACTTAGGTGGAGACTGGTTGACCTCTTCAAAAGGGCAAGGGTCAGAGGTGAATCCCTGATATTGAAGACACTTCCAGTAAGGTCGAAGAACCTTAATCACATTCAAAATGGACTCTGTGACACTGAAAAGATTTTTGAGAAGTTTCCACTAAAAATATAAATCATTAGGATACAAAATATCAAAAGATATCACATTTAGTTACCATGGTGTCAAAGCATTCATGTAATAAATAAATTCCATATGAAATGCATTCTTGTAATTATCTTGTTAAGTTTGTCCCAGCCATATCCTACTACATATATCTATACCTATACATGTATTATCAAAACAAACACAAGCAATAGACGTGTATGTTTGAATGAAGATTCTAATGAAAAATAATTGGACAATATTTACATTTCCAAATATTTTTCCTTAAAGCAATATGAGCTGCATTTTGAGAATTTTATTTTGCTGTTAAAATGTGTTATTATGATAAATTTGTATGTAATTTACGCCTTTATGATCAATAAGACTAATATAAAGTATTAAATTGTTTCAGAAAACTTCTGTACAATGAATTGTATAGTATTATATAAGAAATCAATATTTTACAGGATGACAATAATGTAATTTTGCTCCAATCAAAGCTTATAAATATTTCTTCCATTGCAAATATGAACAAAAGAAGTTTATAAATCTTCTTTTCTTCTGTCACTAAAATATTTAATTACAATTTCACAACAAAAATTTCCGACATCAAAGTTGCAGCTCATATTGCTTTAAATAAGATTCTTTGCAAATTAGAAAAAGTTCATGTTCTCATGAATTAACGTGGCATGAGTAAGAATATTTCCATTGTGATTGAAGTCAAAAAATAGTGCAAACTTTTATTTTCAAAAATGATCGTTGAAAGACAAAAATATGTGGCTGGTCATCAGAAAAATAATGTAAATATAAGAAATGAATTTAATTTTTGAGAATTCATGAGGTACATGAACTACAATGCTTCACGCCTGCATATTTATCATGAAGCGCTAACGCGATTCATAAAATATGCAGGTGTGAAGCATCGTAGTTCATGTCCTCATGAGTTCTCAAAAATTAAATTCATCTCTTAAATACTGACCTGTCACATGGTTCCTGAGATGGAGGAATTCTGGGACAAGGATCATCAAGTAATGCTCTCAAGGTCAAGGCTGCAGACTCAGATAGAGACTTTAAGCAGTACCCACCCTAAAAAAAAATTCACTGCATATCAAATTCTGGCCCATAAACCACATAACACTAATTTGCATGAAGATTAATGCTGATTGCTTTTCTTTGATTTGTTGCAATTTTTACAATTCATGATTACATTATAGAGAACAAAGACAAACAGTGGATTTGTCGATACCTCCAATATGACTGCCACACGACCTTGAGCCAAGGACATGACCTTGTGAGTCAAGTGAGCAAAGGCTGCAGGAGTTACACCCATTTCTCCCTATAAGAAAAATCAACTTTTAAAATATAATGGTTAATATTTGTACTCTTACAATGTATTGTTTAATAAAATCTCAATTTAAAAATACAAAACCATAAAAGATCTACGTGCATTACTGCATTACATAAGTTTTTTATGTTCAATATATTGCACTAGTAAAGTGGTTTTTATTTGAATTTATTTAAATATAATTCAATCAAAATTTTAAGATAATAAAATATTAAACTGCTCATATCAAATTAACTTGTAGGAGAAAATATAAATTTATACTGTGCATAATTATACAATGCATTTCTGATAGATTTATGAATGTCTTTATTTAAGTTTGTGAATGAAGCATTAATTATTATATAGTTACTTTTATTATAAATATGGCATTTTACACTATTTTTATTTTAAATTATATAAGTACAGTGCAGAACAAATTTTTAATGAAAGCCATTACACAGATAATGAAAATATTTGTTTTACAAAGGTATTAAATCATTCACAATGAATTAGAATACGTACATGCAATAAAAGTTTACAAACAAAAAGAATTAAAAAATCAAACCCCTGCCAAAGCATATCCTAGAATCATAACTCTCACAAAATATCACATCAGGAGAACATGTATGACATCTTTGACATGATATGTTTATGCATGAAGACAACATTATCCATTCCAAGTTATATTTTAACCTTGACGATGATTTTTTTTCTTGCTAATAATTAACAATCGAGTTTGTATTTCAAATTTAAGGGTAAAATTGCACCTAAACTGCCATTGGTCAATTTTATCACTGACTGTGATCTCAGTTATTGACCTATGACCTTAGTCACTGACCTATGACCTCAGTCTCTATGACCTCAGTCATTGACCTTTGTCCCTTTACTCCACATTTTTCTGACCTCCCTCCATCTGTACATATGTATGAGAATAAAGTCTTAAAAGATATCTATGAATCTGCCACAATGACATTGCTCAAACCTACCACTGACTTCCAACCTTTTAGGTAATACGAGCAGTTCTGCTAAGTTAACCCCCCTTATTGACATGTGTACTGATAAAGTTTGTAAATTGAAAACTTAATCTGCATAAATTGTTCACGATTAATTTTAAAAAACCAACAGTTATTTACTGTACATCTATATTAATCATGTACCAAAAATTATGTAATTCTTTGTTCTTTAATTTTATGAGCTTATTTGTTTTGTCCTTTAATTTAGAACTATAAGAAGTACAAGACCTTTGGATCTCCAATGGCCGAGTCAAATCCAGCCGACACAACAACAAAATCAGGATTAAACTGTGTTAAAAAACAATGAAGCATATTAATTGAGAATAAGAAAATTACTAGAATTCAAACTAACAGTATAATTATTGCGACTGCATGTGCATGAAAATGGCATGCAACAGTAACACCTAGAGCATGCCACCTGTGGTATTTAATACAACTTACAATAAAGATACATGTTGGAAAACTACAGAAAATTTCTTGATGTGAATTTTTAATTGTACTAGGATGCTGTGTAGAAAAATTACTTTTTAATTAATAAATAATAAAACTGATATAAAAAAAGAATTGTATGATTTTTTGCTTCTTTTTTAATCCTCAATCCCCTCTCCCTCCTGTATATTGGCTCTATTTAACAGAAATCTTCAATAAGCCAAGAAATTTTCTTTAGATATTTGTCCAACACAGTGTAAAGCAACTATAACTACTCAGAATACGGAATGTTCACAACCCCTTTGTTTTACCTCAGGACACCCAATTGCGCAATCATATCCAGCAGAAATCAAAACTAATTCTGGATCAAACTGAAATTACCAGCACATTAAAGTTAATTAACTAATCAACAAATCTGTACTTAATGAACCATCTCAATATTTCATTAATGTTTTTTGTAAAGCTTGTTACAGTTTAATACACTGCATACAAGATTCAGTCGTTTATCTTCAACAATATAGAATTTATGAGATCAAAAATTATCCATGATTTAAAGTGAAAACATAGGTAATCAAAGATTATGAAGCTCACCTTTACGAACGTTAATCTATAAGTAAGGCAAATTTCGCATCATATTTTTTTTCTAGTAAGTGTACATCCCAAGATCAATATCCATGCAAGTTTGGTTTAAGTAGGACTTATAGTTACTTGGAAATAGAACTGCTTAAAAACCTTTAAACCTCTTTCCTAATTCAAGAAAATTTTGGTCAGTTCCAACATCCAAAGCAAGTCTGGAAGTTTTCCTCCTTAGATGCACCATCTATGCAACTTTAATAATTACAGGCCATAATATTATATAGTTACTCCCAAAAACATTACCCTGGTCACTCATCTGGAAAATGTAGGTCAGACTCAGAATCCAAAGCAAGTCTGGAAGTGTCAATCCCTAGATACCTCATCCATGCTAATTTGGTTGAAATATGGCTAAATTTCACTCATGTGGAAAATCTAGGTGAGATCCAGCATCCTAAGCAGGCTGGTTAGTGTACATCCCTAGATGCATCATCCATGCAAGTTTGGTCCAGATAGGGCTTATAGTTACCTGGGAACAAGCCAGCTCCAATACTTTAACTCGATCACTCATCTGGAAAATCGATGTTAGATCCAGCATCTGAAGCAAGTGTGGTAGTGTCCATCTCTAGATGCATCATACATGCAAGTTTGGTCCAGGTAGGGCTTATAGTTACTTGGAAATGAACCTGCTCCGAAAAAACATTAACCTTGTCACTCATCTGCAAAATCTAGGTCAGATTCAGCATCTGAAGCAAGTATGGTAGTGTCCATCCCTAGATGTATCGTCCATGCAAGTTTGGTCCAGGTAGGGTTCATAGTCCTGCTCCAAAAACTTTAACCTGGTCATTCATCTGGAAAATCTAGGTCAGATCCAGCATCTGAAGCAAGTGTGGTCCATGCAAGTTTGGTCCAATTAGGGCTTATAGTTACTTGGGATTGGACCTGCTCCAAAAACTTTAACCTGGTCACTTATCTGAAAAATCTAGGTCAGATTCAGCATCTGAAGCAAGTGTGGTAGTGTCCATCCCTAGATGCATCATACATGCAAGTTTGGTCCAGGTAGGGCTTATGGACCTGCTCCAAACTTGCTCCTAAAACTTTAACCAGGACGATGGCGCTAACATCGACTCCAATGCCGGGGGTATAACATATGTTGGCTTCCCAGGTTAGAGTCCTAAGAGCAGGCCCATTCCAAAAAAATTTAGATATATACTAAAAAAGTTTAAAGATGCATTTGTGTCATATATATATCTAAATTTTTAGGTAATCAAATAGAATTACTATTTATAGTTCACCTTGGAAAATACTAGAGGAATTGTCACATACCAAATGCATGTATATTTGCTATCTCCTTGCAATAAACACTCATCAGTAGTTATAAATTTGAAATATACAGCATACAATTCAAAACAAATGTTATGCATTCCTAGATGTATCATCATTCATTTAAGTTCAGTACAGAAGAAGCCTACAATGCAGTGCAATTGTTCAGCTCCAGAAACTTCAAATTGGCCACTCATTTGTAAAATACTAAGACTTTCTTCAGCATATGATAAAAAAATGATAGTACATGTATATTTGCATTTCAAGATACTTAAAAAATATGGACCCACTAGAAAATATTTAAGCAGTCAATTTTTCTGGAAAATAAAAGTCAAATCAGCATTTGAAGCAAGTCTGAGAGCAAGTACCTATATGCAAGTTTGATCCAGGTTTGGCTTAGGATTTGTTTGGAATTCGCCTGCTCTTAGAACTCTAACCTGGGAAGCCAACAGTGACATCAATCTTGGGGAGTACAATAGAAGTTTCTCCTTAACTATGTCTAGGTTAGCTATTAAACTTAAAATATGTAGATATATATAAAAGTCTTACCTCAAATGCGATTGGCATTAGAATCTGATGAAAAATAGCCAGGTAATCATGATCTGTCATTCCTGTCTACAAAAATATAACAATATATGCCAGGTGAAATAATTCTTATATTTTGTCTCAATATATTTTTTTTTCAATTTCATCATATTCCTCTTAAATGTGCTTCATAATCATTTAACAAATATTCTCCGATTTGAACTTACTGAATAACATATTAAGGTGCAATTTTACCTGGTTAAGTGGAACATTGATGTTATATCACACACTCTTTACTTATTTATACCTGGTTAAGTGGAACATTGATGTTACATCACACACTCTTTACTTATTTATACCTGGTTAAGTGGAACATTGATGTTATATCACACACTCTTTACTTATTTATACCTGGTTAAGTGGAACATTGATGATATATCACACACTCTTTACTTATTTATACCTGGTTAAGTGGAACATTGATGTTATATCACACACTCTTTACTTATTTATCTGGTTAAGTGGAACATTGATGTTATATCACACACTCTTTACTTATTTATACCTGGTTAAGTGGAACATTGATGTTATATCACACACTCTTTACTTATTTATCTGGTTAAGTGGAACATTGTTGCTATATCACACACTCTTTACTTATTTATACCTGATTAAGTGGAACATTGATGTTACATCACACACTCTTTACTTATTTATACCTGGTTAAGTGGAACACTGATGATATATCACACACTCTTTACTTATTTATCTGGTTAAGTGGAACACTGATGTTATATCACACACTCTTTACTTATTTATACCTGGTTAAGTGGAACATTGATGTTACATCACACACTCTTTACTTATTTAAACCTGGTTAAGTGGAACATTGATAATATATCACACACTCTTTATTTATTTATACAAGGTTAAGTGGAACATTGATGTTATATCACACACTCTTTACTTATTTATACCTCATTAAGTGGAACATTGAGGTTATATCACACACTCTTTACTTATTTATACCTGGTTAAGTGGAACATTGATGTTATATCACACACTCTTTACTTATTTATCTGGTTAAGTGGAACATTGATGTTACATCACAAACTCTTTACTTATTTATACCTGGTTAAGTGGAACATTGATGTTACATCACACACTCTTTACTTATTTATACCTGGTTAAGTGGAACATTGATGTTACATCACACACTCCTTATTTATTTATACCTGGTTAAGTGGAACATTGATGTTATATCACACACTCTTTACTTATTTACCTGGTTAAGTGGAACACTGATGCTATATCACACACTCTTTACTTATTTACCTGGTTAAGTGGAACACTGATGTTATATCACACACTCTTTACTTATTTACACCTGGTTAAGTGGAACATTGATGTAATATCACACACTCTTTACTTATTTATACCTCATTAAGTGGAACATTGATGTTACATCACACACTCTTTACTTATTTATACCTGGTTAAGTGGAACATTGATGTTATATCACACACTCTTTACTTATTTATACCTGGTTAAGTGGAACATTGATGTTATATCACACACTCTTTACTTATTTATCTGGTAAAGTGGAACATTGATGTTATATCACAAACTCTTTACTTATTTATACCTGGTTAAGTGGAACATTGATGTTACATCACACACTCTTTACTTATTTATACCTGGTTAAGTGGAACATTGATGTTACATCACACACTCTTTATTTATTTATACCTGGTTAAGTGGAACACTGATGCTATATCACACACTCTTTACTTATTTACCTGGTTAAGTGGAACACTGATGTTATATCACACACTCTTTACTTATTTACACCTGGTTAAGTGGAACATTGATGTTACATCACACACTCTATACTTATTTATACCTGGTTAAGGGGAACTTTGATGTTATATCACACACTCTTTACTAATTTATACCTGGTTAAGTGGAACATTGATGTTATATCACACACTCTTTACTAATTTATACCTGGTTAAGTGGAACATTGATGTTACATCACACACTCTTTACTAATTTATACCTGGTTAAGTGGAACATTGATGTTATATCACACACTCTTTACTTATTTATACCTGGTTAAGTGGAACATTGATGCTATATCACACACTCTTTACTTATTTATACCTGGTTAAGTGGAACATTGATGTTATATCACACACTCATGACTTATTTATATCTGGTTAAGTGGAACATTGATGTTAGGGCTGGGACGATACAACATTTTCTATATCGATACGTATCACGATATTTGAGCCACGATACGATATGTATCACGATATGTTGAATTAGTTATAAAAAAAAATTTTGTATTGAAATGAACAAAACATTTCTTCACAAATGAGAATAATTTATTCAAAGAAGTTGTATATATGTTGTAAAACAAAATTATTTTACACAAGTGGGGTTAATTATTATGTATTTCATATTTATATTTATATTCTGCATATTTATTTTATATATCTAATACAAAATATTAAGCAAACAAAGAAAAAACATGTCAGAAATTTTTTTTGCGATATTTCGATATTTCTTCATACGTATCGATATGCGTATCATCCTCACATTGAATCGATATTATCGATATCTCGATATATCGTCCCAGCCCTAATTGATGTTATATCACACACTCTTGACTTATTTACCTGGTTAAGTGGAACATTGATGTTATATCACACACTCTTTACTTATTTACCTGGTTAAGTGGAACATTGATGTTATATCACACACTCTTTACTTATTTACCTGGTTAAGTGGAACATTGATGTTACATCACACACTCTTTACTTATTTATACCTGGTTAAGTGGAACATTGATGTTACATCACACACTCTTTACTTATTTATCTGGTTAAGTGGTACACTGATGTTATATCACGCACTCTTTACTTATTTACCTGGTTAAGTGGTACACTGATGTTATATCACACACTCTTTACTTATTTACCTGGTTAAGTGGAACATTGATATTATATCCCATGCCTTTTTCCTCTCCAATGAAATCATAGTCACTCTCTCTTAGGTGTGGCCAAAACTTCCCAAATTCATATCGATGTATAGAAAAGTACAGCACTCTGTTAATCAACACACAGAAATGCAAGTCATAATAGAGGAACAATGATATTATTTACAGGCATATCTTTATTCTTTTTTTTACTTAATAAAAAAAAATTATAGGTAAAGCTAGGATTTTAATCTCTGAATCATGACTAATATTTTTCTGAGAATTGTTTAGCTATATTTGTTTGTTTTTAGTTTTGAGTTAAGCATTATATAATCTAAATATTGTTTACATAACTAGAACATCTCAATTATTATATTTCATCAAAGAATCTATCAGACTCCAATTATAAGGTTCAGAAACATGCATAAGAATCTAATATCAATCAATTTTTAAAACTTCTTTAAAACCTTTAGGAACTCCATATATTTTCTTTTAACAATATACAGTTATGTATGTTATTCTAGGTTTAAATAAGGAACCCCTTTATACCGTGGATCATTGTAAAACATCTGTTGGATGCCTTGTCCATGGTGAACATCCCAGTCTATGATTAAAATCCTTTAAAAAAGTACACAAAATGAGGTTAAATTACAGAATTACAGGTGGAGCATCCCCCAACTTCGTTAGAGGGGGTAGGGGGGATAAAATAAACCTAATGTAAGAACTGCATGTCTTTACACTTCATAATACTCTCTATTTAATAGTATACAGTATCAGGGTTCTCCACATTTGAAAATTTAACCATGGAGGAAACATCCTGAAAGCGAAATGTGATCGAAAGCACGAATGCGTGTTAGACCCTCTAAGCTTCATTAATCAATAATTGATTTCTCATTGCAAAGCAAAAAAAAAAATTTAAATACCCCCCACCCACCCCCAAAAAATGAAATAAATACATGTAAAAATAAAACAATAAAAAGGATTATGTATCTTACTTTACAAAAGTCCCAAATGTACCAAATTTTGACCAAAACTGAAGGAGCGTTTTAAGAGTTTCATTTTTTTTTTTGAAATTTTAATATGGTAACCATTGCAACACTGTTCGTCGAATTTTATTCAAAAACTAATATACAGAATTGATCTTGCCTGTTGCATGACAAGTTTTATTTTAATAGGAAGGAGTAGTATTTTGAAAAAAAGAAGTTATCTTTACAGACACACAAACGAACAGTCATGAACGAACACCAACATCTTAACATTGCCTGAGTTTTTAACTGAATGTTCTTTGAAAACTTACTGATGGTATAAGTATCAAAACTTAATATAACCACGGGCATAAATGTGACATAACCATAAAATTGCTATCTCTGTTCTGTTCTTTCTAAACGTTTTGGTTTTTTTTTTTTTTTTTTTTGGTTTTTGTTGTTGTTTATTCTTCACTGCTTTTTTCGCCGAATTTCCTCCATTGTTTACTACTCCATGTGCTCCAGAGCTAAAAATAGCGCCATGCGAAGTTTCATAAACACGGGAGCTAACTCTAAAACTTAGACTTTGTGATGGCGTTCATGTCCATTTTGTCAGAAAGATAATGAAATTAATATTTAAAAAATGGAGCAAGAGGAATTAATTAAATACAAGGGAATCGGAAATTTTAAAAGGGTGAATTCTTTTTGGCAACAGAAACTTGATTAGGATGCTTTTCGATTATTAGACATCATTAGTTACTGCATGTACTGTGCGCTATGTCTTATCATTTGGTAAATCTGTTATCATATAGGTAGCACATTGGAGTTACCCGAAATTACCTGTGTACAGGAAAATTAACATTCAAGATATTGATCATCAGCTGATTGACTCGCAGTTGTCTTCACGGCTTCACGGTATATTCGTGGATCAACGACCGTGTTTGATTAGCACAGTCCGCTTTCTCTCCAGGTGCATGCCAGTCATAGTATAAACACAATTAACTACTCAGGTCATTAAAAATTAAGTGTCAGTACTGAAATGCTATAAAAATTTAATCATGGCAGCTGCCGATTTTAACCATGGCGCAGTTTGTTTAACCATGGTGCACATAAATTTAACTATGGTGGGCCGCCATGGTAAAACCCCTTGTGGAGAACCCTGAATATATAACGGGATTATTTTAGATTGCATCTTACTTTTAATTCCACTGAAACACTTCACATATAGATTCTTTCCAAGAAAGGATCTTTTCATTCATTGCTCAATGCTCATTTAATAAACACTTCTCATTTAATAGACACTTCTGTCACCGGTGTGACGCAGAGGTTACAGCATCTGCTCTAGAGTTGCGGAGTAAGGAGTTGATCCTTATGTCGCAGGTTTGAATCCCACTGCGGGACGTGGAAACCGGTCCTTCAGATGAGACGATATAAAACAGAGGTCCCATGTCGCAGTGGTGCTGGCACGAAAAAGATCCCTCACTGTTTAATGGCCCTAAGTGCTGAGTATAGGTCAAAATTTGTAGCCCTCCACTGGCAAGTGGTGGCATCTCCATACGAGTGAAAAATTCTCGAGAGGGACGTTAAAAACAAACAACCATAACAAAAAATAAACACTTCTACAGACATATCTTCACAAATCTTCAAGATGTGCTTGTGTTCCACTTACTTTTTCAGTTTAAAGTTTTCCAGAGCATGTTTAGCAGCAATAGCAACATTATTAAAGTAACAAAAACCACAAAATTCCTCCGTCATTGCGTGGTGTCCTGGAGGTCTGAAAATAGAGATATAGGGGGGTATCTAGGTATACAGGGGTTTTAAAGTAGCATTCTTTTTATAAGATCATTAATTTCAACATTTTCCAAATAAATATCAACAACTGAAATGTACAAATCATATAGTCAGCTAACTTTATTCCAGTTCTAAAATTTCTGACATGCAATAAACATTGTGACTTTTTCATAAAATTCAGTTTTAAATGCCATCTTCATAATTGCTATGAATGAAATATAATAGTCAAAGAGTAACGTACCTTATTAAAGCCATTCCATTTCGCACCTTAAATTTCAAAAATAAATTTAAATCATTCATTCGGAAAAGCCAAACTCAAATCCTTTCTTATGGAATCTCGAAAAAAAATCACTGTAGAGATAACTATAGTCAGAAAACAATTTTGTATCAAAGTAATAAATACACGTACACGTACACATTTATATTTTCAAGATATTTCTGCATCTAATCCTGCAAATCCACAGCATGTGCAAGGGCATGTGCAAGAGGGTTAATTAATATCCTTCACTGTTTCAAATGTTTAGTTCTGAATTTCAGTATCTTTGATATTATTTAATATAAGATTCAGTCGATAAGAAAATACTTTGTACATGTTTTTAACATTATTCATCCAACCACTGACCTTTTTCTTCAGAATCTGTTCCATCAATTCTACTGTACTCCCCAGGGACAGCAATGAACACTCATATGTAGTCTACAAAAGATAATCTGTTCCATCAATTTTACTGTACTCCCCAGGGACAGCAATGAACACTCATATGTAGCCTACAATAGAGATTCTATTCCATCAATTCTACTGTACTCCCCAGGGACAGCAATGAACACTCATATGTAGCCTACAATAGAGAATCTATTCCATCAATTCTACTGTACTCCCCAGGGACAGCAATGAACACTCATATGTAGCCTACAATAGAGAATCTGTTCCATCAATTCTACTGTACTCCCCTGCAGGGACAGCAATGAACACTCATATGTAGCCTACAATAGAGAATCTATTCCATCAATTCTACTGTACTCCCCTGCAGGGACAGCAATGAACACTCATATGTAGCCTACAAAAGATAATCTATTCCATCAATTCTACTGTACTCCCCAGGGACAGCAATGAACACTCATATGTAGCCTACAAAAGATAATCTGTTCCATCAATTCTACTGTACTCCCCTGCAGGGACAGCAATGAACACTCATATGTAGCCTACAATAGAGAATCTGTTCCATCAATTCTACTGTACTCCCCAGGGACAGCAATGAACACTCATATGAAGCCTACAAAAGATAATCTATTCCATCAATTCTACTGTACTCCCCAGGGACAGCAATGAACACTCATATGAAGCCTACAAAATATAATCTGTTCCATCAATTCTACTGTACTCCCCAGGGACAGAAAAGAACACTCATATGTAGCCTACAATAGAGAATCTGTTCCATCAATTCTACTGTACTCCCCAGGGACAGCAATGAACACTCATATGTAGCCTACAAAAGATAATCTGTTTCATCAATTCTACTGTACTCCCCTGCAGGGACAGCAATGAACACTCATATGTAGCCTACAAAAGATAATCTGTTCCATCAATTCTACTGCACTCCCCAGGGACAGAAAAGAACACTCATATGTAACCTAGGATAGAGAAGACAGGAAAAAAATCATGATTAAAGTTTATAATTTCCAGCAACTTATTCATGTTTATAAAGGAACAAATCAAGCAAAAGTTTGCATATTTTTATAGCATTCTCCATTACTAAGGCTTTACACAGTCTATACATATTCAATCATCTTATAAACCTACAAGTGTAAGTCTGTCTCTCAGAGATGCTTGTAAATTAATTTGACTGTAGTACATACTGGTTTTCTTGAGAATTTCTTTTTAAATTCCTATGAATTCCTGGCATAATTTAAGCAAATTAGAATCTACACTTGAATTGCAGCCCATGTTGCTTTAATTTTAAACAAACTACCCTTGAAAGTTGCGTAGTGGAAGTTTGCCCAATGCTTGTGGAAAAGAAGTCAGACAAGTGAAAAGTTAACATACATATGAACAGATTGATGATGGATAACTCTATCCAGAAAAGTCATTTAATCCTATGGCTCTCCTGAGGGAACAACCCCCCCCCCCCACCACCACCACCACCACCACCATCAACAGATACATGACAACAAATGTTCATCTGATTAAAGAATATCCTACTTGATTGAAGTATACAGAGTCGTATTTGAGAGCCTCTGCTTTTAGTTCCTCGGTACTCATTTCTGTTGTCCGTTTCAGTTTCTCTATCAACTCCTGTGAATGCTGTAACAATACCATGTCCTCTGTAGAATGCAGGGCCTGAAATTTAAAGTAAATCATTGAAGGTCATATCATTGGCCTTTATTTAATTCAATGATCTTACTTGTAGAGTATGTCATAAATGACTTCTTAATTAACATTGAATTTAACATGAATTTAACTTCTTGCAAATATTTATTTAGAAATTCTCAAAAACCTCAACCCCCATCAATAAAATCTGTAGAGAATTTACAGTATGATTTTGGCTCAGAATACTATTTTACTCATTATGGATTGCCAACCTCTAGCCAAATACATCTCTCAGTAAGACCAAGTTCACAACATCGCTGGAAAGGTCCACTGATGCGTGACGGCTTCTCGGGGTAATCCTTGTCCCACAGATTTTCATGCTTCAACATCCGCTTGTCATAAATCAGGCCAGTTCTGAAGAATAAATGCACAGCTGATAAAGGGAGGCAAATCAAACAAAACTGTATACAGTAACTGTATGTTTCCTTACATAAAGGGAGGCAAATCAAACAAAACTATAATACAGTAATGTTATGTTCTCTTACAAGGAACTAGGATGCATATAAGAAATGTTAATCATAAGGAAGTTAGAGCTCCATCTGCTCCTCATGTCATAACACAACTTTATGTTGATATTAAAAATTTGGTGTAAGGAACTAAACATTTGTGTCCCAAGGTTTTTCTTATAAGCTAGTCTTAATTACTGTATATGTCTTTTTTGAAATTTTTTCAAAAGGACAATAAACATGATAAATGACTTTTTTCAGATTTCTTAATCAATCTTAATTTTTTGATTCAATTCTTCTTTTTTATATAAGAATCCACATTCAAATTTTATATTAGGTTTAAAAACTTACCCCTCAACAAGGTCTGGTTCCTTTACTGAAATAGCCTGTATTAAACAAGTCAGAAAGAAAAATATCAAAAGGCAAAAAATAAAATCCATGAGCAGAATTAGATCTTTTTTACATCCATTTTAAAAAATATAAAAATACACTAAAGAAAAACCAATATTGCCAGAATAGGGCAGTAAGTGTGTTTCATTTTGAGTCTAACTCCTCAAGGATAAGATTTCACCTTTTTTGCATTGGAGCCTCAAAACACAGAGAGATGCTAAAACACTACCAATTACACCCCCCCCCCCCCATATACAAACAGAGAGAACAAAATCATAATGGCAGGTTTTGATACCCCCATGAATTAATTTTGGGGGTATAACAATATGGATGACAAGAAGAAGTAATACCCCTGATGAGAATTTGGTACAGACAGATGCACAGATAAACAGAAAGTTGACATCGGATTCGTACAAAAATGAATCCCTTCATATGGCATGCCAAAACAAAGAGTGCGCTAAAATTTCAAGAATCTAGGTAGAGTACTTGCTGAAAAAAACTGCCACAAAAATTTGTTACAGACAAATAGACAGACACACACACACACACAAACAGACAGACACACAAGCATAAAGCTGTAAACCCGGCCCCCTCTCCTTCAGAACAGGGTATAATAATTAAGTATGATTTGACTAAGATTGACAATGCTTTTAAATTTAGATTCAAGAACCAATTCTGGTCATAATTCTATAGAAGAAGTGGATAGCAGACCAACATTTGATGGGCAAACTGCTCCCTTGAACCTTGGGTTTAAAGTTAAAATTAAAATACGACTTATGTCATTTCAAGGCTATCAACGTATATAACTCACGATTTCCGCAAGTTTTCCAACCAGGTACTCTGACTCTGAATCGGAGTCGGACTGCTGTCTTCTTCTCTCCTCCCTCCTCCGTTGTCGTTCTGCCCGCCCACTCTGTTTGATTTCCTCCAAGGTCATTTTTTTGTCCTTGATCTCTTGACTTGCCTGCTTTATATAGAGAGAATTGCTCTTCACAAGATTATCAAATTCCTCCAATAGAAGTTTTATAAACTGTATGATTCTTGTTATGTATGTACTACAACTACACAGTCATTGAGAAATTACCTTTTTTTATCCTTTAAAAACTGATGAAAAAATAAATTAACAGAAATTAATTTTGAAAAAATTTAAAATTACATGCACAATCGTATCATCATTTTCTAATTCTTACAGCTTTGTTTTTTGACAAAAGAAATTAAAAATAATATCATATGCACTTCACATTATTCCAATTTTCATTGTGATTATGATGAATTTACCCTGACATTGCATCTTCATATCATATGTTCATTGTACCTTGAGCATGTTAAGACTTACACTGTAAGTATCACAAATTTACTAATTTTCCGAACTTGTAAAAAATACACGGACCTCTGAGTAACCTGTTTAGTTCAAGCACCTTCTGTAACATATGGAATATATTCATTCAAACCTCAATATCTGGAAAATGTAGAACTGTCATAAAACTCTGAGATAGCCAAAGATTCAAAACAGCATGGTTTATCATGAATTTGGATAAAATAAAGTTGGAGCCACACAGGCACTTAAACATATCCCTTGTATTTGACATCATTGTTTGAGCTATACGACACGTTATACTGTTATATACCTGTATATTTTGGTTCTGTCCTTTCACTCCCACATCATGACCTGATTGTTGTTTATCAGGGTCCTGTTCTTCATCTGAATAGTTCTGATGCATCTCTGCCAATTAATGCTGCAAATACATAACACATACATGTTCTATAATCATCATAATCCAGAAATAATTATCAAATTAACACTTTTCCATGCATGAAACACAAGGAGTATTAAAAAAGATTACATCATGTGTTTTTATATTTTAAAAAAAATCTAAATTCACAATATAATAATATCAGTGTAATAGGTCTAATATACATTGACACACATGGTAACTTGCAGGACATTTCTGAAAATATTTCTCCAAAAGAAATTCAGTTTAAGAATTGTATGGCATTGCAATTTATTTCACATTCTCTGACTTTAAAAAACATGCCTCATCCACCTTTTTAATATTTGCAAGTGTGATGAGCCCTTCTGGTTGCACTGTCTGTAAGTTGAGACCTCAAAAGACTGACCACAGAAAGAATATGGTTGCAGGAAATTTATTTCACGGAGTTTCAGACGAAAATACAAGTTGATGTGACCGACCTAGAAAAATTCAAGATGGCGGCGATGTGTACCTTGTGAATTATTAGGTAGGGGGTATATATTTTTTTTATTAAAAGAAAAATAAGTAACGTCAGGTGCCTATGTGTGAGGTAATCATACTTATCAATGCACGCAAGGTGGTATACAGTTACTTAAACATTAAAAATACATCTTTTGATTTAAATTGTTCAAGAGCAGTTACTGTAATGCTTAAACTATCTTTGCTTTGGATTACTCTTTAAAAATCCCTGTGTAAATATTAGTAGTCATTTACTTGCGATTTTTTGTTTATTTTAAATAAAGAGCAAAGTTGTGAAAAAGTGGCATTGAAATAGCTAAATAAATCTACTCCAAATACCCTTGAGTGCCCAGTAGTTGCGGTCTTAAGAGAGTATCCATGTTAAGTACAATTTAAACTGTGGTTATTTCATCTGATGTTTTAACTTACCCTGTTATTGTCTAATTTTCTTGTTAATCAAAATATTTTAAAGCACTTTATTAAATTCATTACAGTCGTTTGACCAGTTCCGAATTTTGATCAGTTCTGAATAATTAATAAATTAAGAGCTGATAATTAATAAATTCAAAAGTGTAAACATAAATTCATACTTCTGGTATGAAGGCTTATCTATCAAGTGTTAGAATTATGTGAAGTTTGGATTTTTTGCCGTCAGTTTTTGTTCGCTACTGTGCTTGAAACAGGCGACATACTTTTACACTGCAACAAATCTGAATTTGCGACGTGTTTGTCTGCAGAAAAACTTCTGTAAAGACGTCAGATTTTCACACATAAAACAACATTTCAAGTATCAAAAGTAAGTTTCATATGTATTTTAAGAAATACCAAAAGCTTTCCGAAAATAAATCATTAGACCACCAGAAGATATCGGAATAGTTCGCAACTGGTCAAACAATGTATCTAGGCACAAAGCAAGTTAGATTTATGTCGGCCATATTTGTTTTGGACCAGTATAGTCATGCACTCTGATGCAGCAGCTAATATGGGGGCAAGAAAAATAAAAACAGAATTAAAACAAATTCCTGGTGACTAAGATTCTATTCTTCATGGATCAATTCAATAATTTCCTAATTTTTTTGATTTACTTATGTTTACGATTTGTTTATCTATAATAAGTCATAATTCTTTCTTCACTCTTTCTATACATGTATTCCTATGTAATAATTACGTCTATACAGTATAAGGACTACATAATTTTCATCAGGTCATCTTTTATAATGCTTGACCAAAGTAAACAATTGAAATACCCATGTGAAATACCCATAGCCATGTGCTCGTCATGTCCATAGGTGGCGCTTCCGCACGGTTAAAGTATATATTTAGAAACCGTTAAAAGAGTATTAACAAAAAAGGTGGCTTTTATTGATGCCTTTGTTTATTTCAATAATTTATAAATGTTTTCCTCTGCATATTTAACTTTTTGTTATAGTGTAGGCGCTTCCCTCTCTAATCTTTGAAAATCAATCGTTTATAACATAATATCATAGCAAATGACCCACATATGACAAAAATAAAATGATGCACTACTCCTTGCACGCACGACTTTAGGACCCTCGACCATAGCTTAATAAAGCTGAAACTACGTAGCTAAATGTAGTTAGAATAATCTAACTGTGTCTCGGGACAAGCCCTCACCGGGTCCGTAGGACAATATCATTTTAACGATAGAACGTTCTATCTAAGCTAAATGTACCGATTGTACTGGACATGATAATGGGTAAAACCGAGTTGTATTACGGAAAAATATATCAACATTTACATCCCTGGTTGTGTGTCCATTAAATATAATAAAGCATTGCTCAATTCGCCAACATCGCAGGATATATCACTGTATAATTTTAAACCAAGACATCGATTGAGAAATACTTCAGACGACAGTGCACTGTATAACATAAAAATGGCAAGACTCCTAGTAATCACTTGTTTTTACGATTTAAAATTCCATATCTTGACTAGACAGGGTAAAGACATGTGTAAAATACTACTTGAAGTTAATGTTACTAAAATAAATTGATCCGTTACCTTACTCTTGCGCCATAAATAATTCTACTTTCAATTCACTATAGCAATTTTAACCCTTCAATATTAGAGAGCTCCAATAAGTTTTAAGGAAGCTCTAAACACTGCACACTAAAGAGTTCCACGTAGAGGGCAGTTTTTATCAGTTTATGCAATCTGCCCTTAGAAGTAAGATAGAAAATGGTTATTTGCAGTGATCTGCCCGTAGGAGTAAGATAGAAAAAAATGGTTATTTGCAGTTAATTTAACAAATTGTAATAGATTAAAATATTCTTAGCATTCTAAGTATTAGACCAAGAATAAGTAATTGAATTCATCATTTCCATTAATTTTCCCAATGTAAGTAAACAACAGTGATTTCTGTTCATGAAATCGGAATAGTCCATTGTCTTTGAACATTTTTCCTGTGGAAATAAGGCAGGTAGGCCTACGTGTTGAAAATGAAATAAATAGTCTCAACATACATACCTTTAAATGAGATATTTTTCTCCAAGCCCAAAATCACTTTTTGTGAGTGTTTCGAGCTTCCTTAAGAAATATAGGTTCACTCCAGGAGTGCTTCCAAATCGATTATCATCTTCATATTGAAACAAAAATTACCTGTGACAAAAATAATCTAGATTCATTTAATTATTATGTTTTATACACATAATAGATCAACATTTCCTTCAACTTCGTTTGAATGCATTTACGTGAAAATAATTAATCAATATAATATGTTCACTTAATTATTACTGATTGCATGGAATTTGCAGAGTTATTTAACTGTATATACTACACCAACTAAAAGTCCCTTGACCCCCTCCCCCCAGCCTAGAAAACGCGGACCCCTTTGAAGTTGGGAGGACCCCCCCCCCCCCGACACACACACACACACACACACACATTTGGAAAAAGAGTTAAAGGGTTTTTTTTAATTGTCAAGAAATTTCTAGGTTGAATTTGTTTTGACTTCTTTGGACATGGACACCCCCCCCCCTTCCTGGAGAAAATTTCTGGATCCGCGAATGTTTGTTCCTTTTGCAATTATAAAGCGTGTTCTGTCTTTAGTAAAAAAAAAAAAAAAAAAAAAAAAAAAAAAAACAGAATATTTAAAACAATAAATTGATGCAGAATTTTTCTTTGTTTTCTTAATTTCAAAAAGGCATAAAATATATGTAACTTTTTATTCGACTTTAGGAAACAAAATTTTTGTTCATGAATTAATTTTTAATGGGGAGGACTTTGCAATAGAGAAGACAGTTTAAGTTGGAAAAAAGTTTATCCCATCCGTTTGATTATGACTCAATAAAAATCAAATTTAAAAGAGGGATTGAACAATGAGTTAAAAATGACCGATGTTGACAATGAGTAAAAGTGTTACAGGTACAAATTAATGAAATACATTGATGGCACCAGACCTGGGGTCAATTACTTTGAAATGTAATGAATTAAATTACAATTACTTTGGAAATTTTTACCATTACAATTACCATTACCATTACTCTCATTCAGAAAAGCAATTAATTAAATTACAAATACTTTGTTAAAGTAATGAATTACATTTACACATTACATGTTTTAAGAGAAAAACACAAATTTTATGACCATACAATTTATATCTATAAATTAACTTTCTCCCACTTTGTGCTCGGTTAATATGCTTTCCCTTAGGTCTATAAATCAGAGTGGTATTTGGATTTTGGATTCATTTATCATGTTCATGTAGTTTCCAATCCAATCTGCAGCTGATCAAAAAAAAAAAAAAAAAATGGATCGGAACACTTTCAATGTTGTAGTTGTGTTCAGTCTCTGATGTTAGTTCCTCAGGGTTTTTTTTTCCCAGACAAATAATAAACATTTCATACTATAAGTTTTATGTAAAGTGATACTTAATTAACAGATATTGCTATAATTGTAAAACTAGTATATATATATTAATAATGAATTAATTGGCACTTTTAATTGGCTGAGCAGGCATAATCCATGAAGCTAGAAATTAAACACAACCAAAGGTGATAATTACCAGTGCCTAGATATAGGGTATGCATTCTTAGGTGACTCCTATAAGCTACCAAAAATGAATAATGGACAATATGTCAACATTTATATTTCGCCTTAGTTTCCCTTTAGTTTCCCTTTAATTGTGTCTTCAAGTAGATCATACTGATCTTGTATCTTGCTTACCAAGTCCATTTTACCAGAATGAACTTTGTGAAAAGAAAAAAAAAGTTGAAAAATATAGTTTGTATCTTAATTATTTGAAGTCTCACTATACAGGTATAAATGTCACTTGTTTTGTGGCTTTCTTTTAAACCTAATGATTTCTTTAAATATTTGTTTCTCTTCAACACTTTCTCTTCAATTGATTTTATTACTGTCTTGTCAAGAAGTTTTCTATTAAAACAATTATTTAGTATGTCTATCAATCACCATTGAATAAATATTTTTTTTTTTTTAATTGGTAAGATATAGGATTTTAATTTAAAGACTTTAACATTATAAAGTTAATTTAAG